ATACAAGAATCGAGTACCCATCCTTCCACGAGTGCCCATTCTCCACCACCAATGATTCCAGTGTCCCTCCCACACCTCATCTCCCCAGTCCCACCCCACTCTGTCGCAGGGCATTCCCTTTTGTTTTCTCTCTCCTTTCGGGTGCTGTGGTTTGCAAAAGAGGCATTGAGTGGCAATCATGTTCAGTCTATAGTCTACTTTCAGCATGCATCTCCCATCCTAGGAGGATCCTCCCACACCCTTTACTTGGTGCTCCCTTCTCTGTCTGAGCTTCCTTTTCCCCTGGCACATGTGGCTGTCCTTCAAGCCATGGAGTGAACCTCCTGTTACTTATCTCAACTATTCTTGGGTGTTAATCTCCTATTTTGTTACTTTATATTCCACAGCTGAATGCAATCGTTCTATGTCTATCCCTCTCTTTCTGACTCATTTCACTTAGCACAATACTTTCCATGTAGTACCAGTTGTATGTAAATTTCATGACTTCATCTTTTCTAACAGCTGCATAGTACTCCATTGTGTAGATGTACTAAAGTTTCTTTAACCAATCATCTGTTCTCGGGAACTCGGGGTTTTTCCAGATTTTGGCTATTGTGAACAGTGCAGAAGTGCAAATGTCATTTCGACTATACATTTTTGCCTCTCCAGGATATACTCCCAGGATTGGTATTGCTGGGTCAAATGGGAGCTCAATTTCTAATTTTTTGAGAATCGTCCATACTGTTTTCCAAAAGGGCTGAACCAGTCGGCATTCCCACCAGCAGTGAAGGAGAGTCCCTTTCTCCCCACATCCGCACCAACACTGATTGCTTTTGTTCTTTTGGATGTGGGCCAGTCTCTGTGGCATGAGATGATATCTCATTGTTGTTTTGATCTGCATCTTCCTGATGATTAGTGATGTAAAGCATTTTCTCATGTGCCTTTTTGCCATTCAGATTTCTTCTTTGAGAAAGTTTCTGTTCATTTCGTCACCCCATTTTTTGATGGGGTTGGATGTTTTCTTCTTGTGGAGTTCAACCAGCGCTTTGTATATCCTTGATATCAACCCCTTGTCGGATGGTATTTGGTGAATATCCTTTCCCATTCTGTAGGTTGTCTTTGTATTCTGATCACTGTATCTTTTGAGGTGCAGAAGCTTCTTAATTTGAGATAGTCCCATTTGTTTATCTCTGTTTCCCCTTGGTTGGTCAGAGGAGTGTCGTCTTTGAAGATACCATTAGCCTCATATCGATCGTGCCCCAGAAAAATCAAATACCTCGGAATCAGCCTAACTAAAGAGGTAAAGGACATCTACAATGAAAGCTACAAAATGCTACTCCATGAAATAAAAGAGGACATGAGGAAATGGAAACATATCCCCTGCTCATGGATAGGTAGAATTAACATTGTCAAAATGGCAGTACTCCCCAAAGCATTATACAGATTCAATGCGATTCGAATAAGGATACCCCTGAAATTCTTCAAAGAAATAGATCAAGCACTCCTGAAATTCATGTGGAACAACAAATGCCCACGAATAGAAAAGCAATTCTTGGGAAAAAGACATGGCGAGGTATTAACCTCCCCAACCTCAAACTCTACTACAAAGCGGTAATACTTAAAAACGCATGGTACTGGAACAAAGGCAGGGCTGCAGACCAATAGAACAGGGTGGAGAATCCGTACACACAACCACAAATGTATGAACATCTAATCTTTGATAAGGGAGCAAGAAACGTGAAGTGGAGCAAGGAAAGCCTCTTCAACAAATGGTGCTGGCATAACTGGACAACCACATGCAAAAAAATGGGTTTAGCCCTCGACCTAACACCATGCACAAAAGTCAGATCAAAATGGATTAAAGATCTCAACATCAGGCCAAAATCCATAAGTAATACGGATTCTAACTGAGGAGATCCATCCTAGAGCAGAATGCCCAAACTTACTTGGGCAACTGCCTCTATAGGAGAAAAAAAGATTCACTCAGCAGCCTCCTGGAAACATATAAGAAGTGCCACCCAATTGCATCTGAGGCTGTTATCACTCTTCCGAATCTTGATAACACTGCCCTAGAGTGTTTCTCTTCAGAAAGGATTTAAGTGAAAATAAGAGGCATTGCTTATGCACTTGTGAACATTTTGCAAAGATACTTTTTGTGATGGCACTACAATCTCAACAAGGCTTCCTCAAGCTGAAGGTTCAACGATCATCACTAGGATAATGTAAGTGGGTTCCAGAATATTACTGACTAAACCGAGTTTCTTTTTCCTTTGGGTTCTTTTGGCATCTCTGATGGTATTCAAGAGCTACTCCTCTCTGCTTGGGGATGGGGAGATCATGTTGTGTCAGGTCTGAATCTGGGCCACATTAGAGAGGTAGTTTAGATCTGAACCCTAAATTAAAGTCTCTATTTCTTCCTATTGAGGTCTCATGTACATTATAAAAAGCTGGGATGTCATTTCCCAAATACAAGTATATTCTCACCTTCTTGTGTCACTTCAGTCAACTTCCTATCCATTTTTGCCTTGATGTAACTATAATGGAAAACAATGCACAGGGCTAGGGATACAGCTAAGTGGTAGACATATGCCTTGCATGTGTGAGGCTCTGAATTCTATCCCTAGCAACCTCCAAAAGAAAGAATACATTTTACAATAGCATTTTAAATATATATTTTCAAATATATATTTAAAGCATTGCTGGGTATGGCTCAAAAACAAACAAAAAAATTAAAAATTCTTTAATAATTTAGTTTTGTAGCACCTTAATTATGCTGGTATTTAACTGGTCCCCCCCCCCAAGAAAATATAGTACAGTGGGTGCTGTACTACAGCGGGTGCCTTGCACTGTGCTAACCCAGGTTCAATTCCCAGCACCGTGTGATCCCTTGAGCCCCACCAAGAGTGATCACTTCTCACAGAGCCAGGAGTATGCCCTGAGCATCACTGGGTGTGGCCTGAAAACAGAATTACATAAAAAAAAATTATCATGGATATAGCTCAAAGGGTTGAAAGTGCATGCTCCACACTCAGGAACACCGAGTTCAACCTTCAGCACTGCACCCAGCCTCTAGCACTGACAGGTGTGGCCCTGATCGTACCATGTCACCTATCCCAGCATGCACCTCGCCAGTTATTTCTGGGAGTGGAACCCCAGGGTTCCTGAACACTACCGAAGAGGCTACAAATAAAGTAAATTAACAGAAACTAGTAAAGAATGTTCCACATGATGACAGTTCAAAATTACCTCCTTTAGCTATTACAAATGCAAGTAAGTCCACCAATCCTATGCCTTATGGTAAAATTCTATTTTACGTAGAACTTCAGAATAGCATGTAAATAAGAGATGGCTTATAAATATCTTAAAAGTCTTTGGAAACTGTTTCTTACTCAATAAAAAATAAAAAGCTCAAGTTTACCAGTTCTGTAACTAGAATTTACTGACCACTATGTGCTATACATGCATTTGTCCCTATCTGTTACACCAATTCTTGGTTCTCTCCTAAACTATAGTCCCTATACACAAGTTAAAGCATCTCGCTAATAATGGTGTGCCAGTCACCAACATAACGTCTAGCTCTTACTGGGAACTTAATGTGTTCCAAAGTGCCTAAAACAGACAAGACAGGGTGAATACAAAAGCAGTATTTTCTGCAGTAAGAAAATACTCCCTGGCCAATTACCAGTCAATTCATGCCACAAAAATCAGAACGAGGGTTGGAGATAGTACCGTGGGTAGGAAGCTTGCCTTGAACGAAGTCAACCAGGCACCATATACGGTACTCCAAGCCCTACCAGTAGTGATCGCTGAGCGCAGAGCCAGGAATAATCCCTGAACATCGCTGAATGTCGGGTCCCCCCACAAATAACGTAGTTCATTAAAACCTGGGGGGGTGGGGGGCTTGAGAGATAGTACAGGGGTTAAGGCACTGGCCTTGCAAACAGGATGCACGATTCCGTCATCCCACACCACATATGGTTCCCAGAGCTGCCAGGAGTGATCCCTGAGCACAAAGCCAGGAGTAAAATAAGAAAACAAGGGGCAGGGGGCACATCAGCAGTACTGCGCTTACGATGCTGCCCTGATACTGAGAGTTCAAGTCCAGGTATCCCCCCTAGGAGGCGCAGTATGGGACCCTAGCTGTCAAGTGTGCGCCTGCACCTGGATTTAGTGTCCAAGTACCAAACCAAGTGCGTGATCCTCAGAGAGTACCACAACTAAAACATGTGCAAGCGACGCGACCGAAAGTGCAAGCCCCGTGTTGGACTGCAAATTCAAGTGTGTGCAAGAGCCAGAAATCATAACAGAGGGGGTGGGATGTTTAAAACAAAAACCGCACAACCACCTGTCATCGCAGGAAAACAGTTTTTTTCTTGGTCACACAAAGAAAGGCAATGTAATACTATGTTACTGAAAGCAGAAACAAACACTAAACAATGTTAAGAGTAGATAAGACTTCCAATGTAGTACATTCACAAGCAAATGATTTCCCCTTTTGTCTCTTGGTCGCAATTTCTGGAAGGAACAGCAAGAAACGAAGACACGAGGAACAAAAGGGGAAAACAGTGCATTTCGAGTGAGTGGAGTGGACTGCTCTACAGAGTTACTGCAAACGACCAAGATGATCTTGCAAGTCTACAAGAGTTGGTTCATCAAGTTTGGCCACTCCAGTTCACCATATGTCAGGGGCATCGTTCCCTCCTCAAAGATCCAAACATCCCGCCGGCAGCCCTCTCCGGGCGTACCGCTAACCATTCTGGTTATTTCCCAGGACTCCGGGTAAAAAAAGAAAAGAACATCAACAAGTATTCGGGAGGGGCCTAGAGAACTCTTCACCCCAAACCGCGGCCCTCAAGCCTCCCACGGGAACAGCAGGCGGAGCGCGGCCCGGGCGAGCGGCTCGGGAGCTGCCAGCCACGCCCGGATGCGCGGCGGCCGGGGTCCAGCCGGCCCCACCTGCTCCAGCCACTAGGCGTGGGGGTCGTGGACAGGGCGCGGGGCAAGCTGCGGCCGGGCCTCACCTCCACGGCTTGGCCCAGCTCCAGGTCGAAGCCCACCACACACACGCAGTGCAGCCAGGCCGAGAAGCCGTCCCAGCGCAGCAGGCCCCGGCTTCGGCCTCCGTCCTCCTCCTCGTCCTCTGGCGTGGCTCCAGCCGCCACCACGGCCGGCGCCTCGCGCTCCTCGGCCGCCGCCACCGCTTCGTCTAACGGCTCGCGGGAGCTGGGCCCCGAGCCGGCCAGGCCCAGCAGCGCCATCCGCCGCCCCCTCTCCGCCCGCGCCGCCTCCACTGCGGACCGCGCCGCAGAGCGCGCTCGGGCCCGCGCACGCGCAGCAGGCTCCGCGGCAGCCGGGGCGGCCGGGCTCGGCCGGGGCGGGGCCTCCGCTCACGTGACCCTGGGAGTCCAGGGGCGGGGCGTTGAGGGACCCGACGACGTCACGCTGAGGGCTTCGCCGGGATTCTCAGCCCCGCCCCTGGTCGTTTGACCTTCAAGACATTTTAGAAAAGCGGCTGAAACCGTGGCTTCTTTTTTTTCTTTCCTATAAGTACTTGCCTTCACCATCCTGCGGCCAGCTGGAATGACACATTTAATAATTACAAGATATTATTACATTATTAAGATATTATGAGGACCAGGGAGCTGACTTAAAGGGGGTTGAGCACATGCTTTGCGCTTGATTTCATCCCAGGACCTCGGTACCCGGAGCACTGCCGGGCGTGGCCCCCCCAAACAAGCAAAAACATTATGGTAATAGTTGGCAACATCCAAGCAAGGGCTTTACAAATGTGACCTCACTGAATCATCACGGCGTGGCTAACAGACATCATTATTGCTCTCTCCTTATAACTCAGGAAACTGGCTTTCTGAGAGGTTATGTAATTAGCCAACAAGTATTACAACTCGGATCGTGGCTCATACTGCATCAGGCTGATTCAGAGACCTGTGCTTTTTACTCAGCTAGTTCTCTCAACCAAAGTCCTGCCATCTGTCATGGCCTGCCTGCCTGTGACTCAATGCACACACACACACACACACACACTACACACACACACACACACTCAATACACACACACACACACACACACACTACACACCTCCACCTCCAGGCCTTTCTGGACACCAGATTGTTAATACTACAACAACCTGTGCGTCACTTCTCAACATGAACCTACACCTAAAAGACTTTGTATTCTCAGATGTCAGCATTGGTCTGGGCACCTAGAAAACACTGTCTTTTTTACCGATTTTTGACCCAGATTGCCACTACTGGCTAGAATTTATTCAGTATCCCAGAATGAAAATAAATTTATAAACCCAGAGTAAAATAGTAAACAGGAAACACACAATACTACATCAATAGAAAAATGACTCAAAGACGATGGGCAATAATTCATAAAAAGAGACAAGTATCAGAAATTAAGGCACTTGTCTTATATGTGGCACCCCAAAGTGCCTGAACACAAAGCCAGGAGTAATTCCTGAGCATTGCCACCCCAAGGCCCCAGAGGTGTCACTCCCGAGCCAAAATAAACAGATGCGTTTTATTCAAGTACTTTGTCTTTTATTTTGGGGTCACACACAGGACTTCTTCCTGAATCTGTGGTCAGGTCTCCTGAGAATGTTCAGGGGACCATATGTGGTGCTGAGGATCAAACCAAGGTTGATTGCATGCAATACAAACACCATACTCCGCTGTACTATCTCACCAGACCCAATAAACATTTTTTTTAAAAAATTAAGAGCACATGATTTATGTTTCTACACAGATGATCTTTTTCTAATTTTCTCAAAAGTCCAAAACAGGTCATATCGTTATTCTCATTTTACAGATAAAGACCCAGAGGCTCTGTGAGAAGACAGTTACGTTACAATCACAATAAGTAAATGACAGAACAAAGATTTAAGCTCAGGTGTCTAACTTAACCTTAACTCCTGAGCATTTTGCTGTACTGCCCAATCAAATTCACTTCACTGGTTAAACACAACCTCTCCAATTCTTAGGATTTTGAGTGGGAGTTTGGGTCACATCTATGGGAAGTTGTGTGATGAGGGAAGGGTATCTGCTACTTCTGGGCTCTGTGCTGGGGAGGGAGGGGTGCTGCTCCTTAAAGTGTTCAAGGGACCATGCAATGATAGTTCAGAACATCTACCAGGGCCTCCCACTTGCAAAGCATGCACTCAGCCTTTGAGCTATATCTCCAGTCTGACACTTCAGGAGATAAAATAAACTAAGTACATCACTAAAGGTTAAAGGCAAACTCTTTGGCCCAATGCAGTTTGCCTAGAAAGAAAAACATTTTTTTAAGAAAAAAAATATTCTGCAATTAATGTGTCTACACCCACCATTAGGGAAAAAAGATAGCCTATAATATTAAAAAGTTTTAGGGGCTGGAGCAATAGCACAGAGGGTAGGGCGTTTGCCTTGCACGTGGCCGACCGGTGTTCAATTCCCAGCATCCCATATGGCCCTGAGCACCGCCAGGGGTAATTTCCCTGTGCATCACTAGGTATGACCCCAAAAACAAACAAAAAAAAAGTTTTAGAGAAAGCAGTTCAACTTCTAGTACCAGCTCCAGTCATAATCATGATAGGCAATAGACTCCAAAATATAGTTTTAGCATTGGTAAATATGATTGATCATTACTTGCATATATTGGATTACCAGGATAACCAGATTGTCCCAGTGCACACATTTTATTGGATGCTACCTCATTAGTAATGATTAAGGGACTTTAAGCAGAAGTGCTTCCAGGAGGGTAGTTCTTTGACAGGTGGACATAGATGATCATTCCCAGAAAGGTTGCCTTGTTGTTTTTGTGTTTTGTTTTTGTTTGGGAGTCACACTCAGATGTTCTCAGAGCTTCCTCCTGGCTCTGCGCTCAGGGATCACTCATGGTGGGCTCAGGGGACAATATTAATTTCAGGGATTAAACCCATATTGGCTGCATGCAAGGCAAGCACCCTACCTGCAGCACGATTTCTCCAGCCCCAAGTATTTTAGATTAAGAATAATATTGTATGGTCCCCTGACTATTTTGACAATCTCTTTGGTTAATTCTTGTATGGGATCTTCTTCCTTCCTTCCTTCCTTCCTTCCTTCCTTCCTTCCTTCCTTCCTTCCTTCCTTCCTCTCTTTCCATTTTTGGGCCACACTCAACAGTGCTAAAGGTTTACTCCTGGCTCTGTGCTCAGAGATCACTTCTAGCAGCGCTCAGTGGGTGCTAGGGATTAAACCCAGATTGGCTACGTGCAAGGTAAGTGTCCTACCTGCCCATATCTCCAGCCCATGGGAATGTCCTTTCTTGGAGTTCTGGAATTTGAATATGAACAGACCTTTGCTAAGGTCATCTCTACAAATCTCTCATTGAATTTTCTGAATTTTCTGACGTCTGTCAGCCAGCCTTCATCCAAACACACATATTAATGTCACTACTTTAAAAAAATCATTTTCTGAATGTTTATAAGGTCTAAGGTAGGAGGAAAGCTGTGAGTCGTGCCAGAAGACAAATTCTTAGTTACAATGCTGTTCATAGTAGTCACTGGGGATTACTGCTCTGGGGATTTTCACCACAGTGTTGAGTGTTGCACTTGACAATGTGGGGCAGTGTGAGATAAAATTTGCAGCTTCCTGCATTCAAGGAAAGTGCTCTGTCTTTGAGCAACATCTCCAGGTCCAGAAAAATTCTTGCTTTTATGAAGACAGGATCAAGTATGTTGTAATACACACAACCTGGGCCTATGTTGTGCTTTCTGAGATTACACAAAAGAGTCCAACTCTAATACATGATAGCCCTGTGACTATTTGAAAATGGTTATCCCACATTCTAATGCCTTCTAGTTTTCAGGGTAAACTATGACTGTTTCCCCAACTATTTCTCAAAGGATGTTGTTTCTAAGCCATTCATCATCCTATTGCCCAACCTGGGCAGACTTCAACTTGTCGAATTTACTCTTTAAATGTATTTCCCAGGAAGAAACATCATCCTTTAGGTGTGATCTGACCACTGAGTAGTGTTTTCTGGGCCTATTAGCTTACTTGTTTTAGCTACTATCCTTCTATTGATACCAGTTCAGATCTCATTTGGTTGTTTTAGCAGCAGGATCACACCCTAGATTCAAGATATTTTTGTTGTCAATGAAACTATAGATTCAAGATGGTGTGTGTGTGTATGTGTGTGTGTGTGTGTGTGTGTGTGTGTGTGTGTGATATGTGAGGAGCATTCAAGTCAAGGTAGGTTGTTTTAGCCAAAAGCATGACTGAATTCATGACCTTTCTGGTCTTCTAATATTACCAGCAACACTAAGCACAGGATTAAAAACATTCCATACTTCCCTAATCACCTGTAATCAAACTCTTGGCATTCCAACAATTTTCATAGATTAAAAATAACAGGAGGAAGAGGAAAAAAAGAAAGCGTGAGCTTTAGATAATTGTGTGAATTTCAGGACTGGAGCGATAGCACAGCTGGTAGGGTGTTTGCCTTGCACACGGCCGACCCAGGTTCGACTCCCAGCATTCCATATGGTCCCTCAAGCACCACCAGAAGTAATTCCTGAGTGCATGAACCAGTAGTAACCTCTGTTCATCGCCGGATGTGACCTAAAAAGAAAAAAAAAAGGTGTGAATTGCTATGCCAATTCTCTGGATTTATTTTTCCCAACAGGGTCTGAAGAGAGTACGAATGTTATGTTCTGGATATCCACTCTCTCGGGGAGTTAGAAGACCTCTCTTGTTCTCGAGCTATGTACAATTGCAGTTGCTGGGCACAGTAACACTTGTGGTGGCAAGAAAATACAAAGGCTCAGATGCTGTTGTTTTACTAAGTTAACTGCTACTATCTCTCTTTGAGAGACAAAAAGCTCAAATAGAGAGGTTGAATGGAGGACTCAGGCAAAGAAGACATTAAACATATATTATTAAGTAAATAATATGTCTGTGGGAAAAAAAATTTTAAAGCTTTCAGGTTTCTCATCTTTGTTTTCCTAATATCTATACAATGCCTGGCATAGGCGAGGCTCTTAGTAAATATTTAATGAATGAATCAATGCACATACATGCATGTGCATGCTTGTATGCACGCACACACACACACACACACACACACAGCCCTGTAACCACTGTTGTTCTAGTTTACAGGATTTCCCTTTCATGGTCAATTGTCTGAAGATGGAAATTTAGCGTAAAATATTTCCTGATGTAGTTCACTCCTAAATCTGTGGAAAATAAAGAAAGTAACACTCCTTTGACAAAGGAAAGACAAGAAACTTTCACTCATTTGAAACTGCTTTCCCAACTGACTTAGTTGGAAACAGGAGGCAGGTTTAATAACACTAAT